GCGGGCGAGGCGAGTGCGGGTCTTCAGCGCGAGGAAGAGGAGATCGCGCTAGGAAGAGGCGAGTGCGGGTCTTCAGCGCGAGGAGGAGGAGATCGCGCGAGGAAGAGGCGAGCGGAGCTTGGATTTCTGTGCAGAGAAGCGTGGCGTGCAAGGGAGATCTGGATCGAGCTTCTTCGGCGCAGGGAAGGGGCGAGCAGGCGAGGGTGTCGAGCGGGGTTTGCGGCTCCTTCGGTGCTTCGGTGCGGGAGACGAGAGGCGAGCGGGGGACTCTAGTGCCGAAGGAAGGAATCGGGCGAGAGAAGGAAGAGGCGCAGTGCAGAGAGGGGGAGAAGGGCGGAGGAGCGGAGGATTTCGTTCCAGTGAGAGCTTAATGGCCGTGGAAGAAGGCGAGCGCGGGGGGCGAATTAAAGAAAGGAGCGGGGTCAGAGAGCCGTTACCGTGGAAGTAATGGGCGGGGAATTGAATTATTTTCTTTTAGACACACTGCTAAATTGGAAAAGAATTAATGGAGGATTAAATGATAAATTTAAAATTTAAAATTTGAAATTCAAAATCATATAAGCTGAGTCAAGAAGCCTGTGTTCAGCCCATATCCAGCCCAAGACAAACTCGAAATGAACCTGGGTTGAGCCCGGGCCCACGCCCGCTATCGTGCATCGATTTCCGTGCCATTTGTGCGCGTGTGTAACCCTAGAAATATGGGTGTCCTTTCTAGTTAAAGTTGACGTTCCGGACGTGTTGGTGTGATTCGTTTCGTCATCTGGGGTCGTTCGGACGAGTTCGCCGACGGGCGAGTCAATTCAAGTCAAAGTCGTGTGTGATGCAGTGAGTGCGTGAAATGCGGCGTTCACGAATAATCGAGTCACAAAGGGTTCACCTAAGGTTATTTGATCCTATAGGAACTCAATTTCGGGTCCTTTACATGTTGGTCCTTAGCCCTTGCAACTAAAAATTGAGTGCTTGGAACCACTCATGCGAGTTCTTCACAAAAATGAGTCAAGAAGTGACTTGAAGTTCTACGGGAGGTGGGCTCCATTGCTAGTCCGCTAGGATTGTCAATAAGAACTCTTAAAGCTAGATCCTAAGTTCTAAGAGTAGGAGACTAAGACCTCACCAAAAATGAGGTCAACAACATCTTGAAATATCGCTTCACCTGGTACACCCACCCACGCGTGTCTTCCCCCTTAAGATTAACATCTTCAATTTCCTTATGTCACTTCTCTCTAGCGAAGTTCATTCCTCCCATGAAGCAGGGTTTAGGTTCCATTTGATGACCCATATTGAATTCCCTCCTTCCACAAGTCTGGCTCACCTAATAGTCAGCCTGTCTGTCCTCATAGGCTCTTGCCTTGGCTTTTGTTCGAAAGGTTGTTGCAACAAAAGGTGCTGACGTAGATGCAACGCTCTGCCTATGTCCCACCCACCATGGTTCTCTATTCTAGGTTGAAAGCCTTCAAATCAATCTTCTTTAGCCCTGAATCGCTCGCCGTCGTATTCCACCTGTGGATGCTTTTTCCAATTGCTGGATGTTGCATTATTCCTTCCAAATACTGGCACTCGAGTTCACTTCTGACGACACCCCTCGATCCTACAATAGGGGGCTGCGGGTTTGCGTGCAACTTCACCAATTTCTTTATCATTTCTTCCAAGGTTGTAAATTTGCTTTCCATTGACTGAAATTGCCCCTCTATGGATGTAAATCACCCATTCATTAACTCGAAATGCTCCTCCATTCTAGATCTAATTTGGCTCACATGCTCCTCCAATTTCTCTTCCATACATCTATTGTTTTGGCCATAGTTATTTCATTTTCGAAGTCTATATGTCGTGATCCCATGGTTGGTTTGAATCGAGACATTTTTTTTGGCTCAATTGTATTCAACATGCTCGAATTGCGACTTTTCTATGATTAGGGCAAGCCTCAATCTTCCCAGCCAGCCGGCGAAAAAATCAGCTTGAATCTTGATGCTTCCCAACAAGCTTAATTCGTTAGTTTTCGCAAGAGATGGAAAATCTGTCGTTGCCTTCCCAGAAAGTATGTGATATTCAGGTCTCTATATGTCGCGATCTTCAAAATTGTGCAACAAGAAGCGAAAGGTGAGGTTTCGGGTCTCTGTAGGTTGCAATTTTGTCGGCGCCTTCCCAGCTAGCTCTGCTTGCTATTGTCGGAAGTGGGTGGAGGCGAAAGGTGGGAGTTACGATCTTTATAAGCCACAATCCTATCTTAGCCTTCTCTGCAAAGGAAAAAAAAAGAATTTTTGGGACTTTATAAGTCGCGATTCCGTTCTTGCATTCTTCGCAAGCTCTAATTGCGATTGTATTACGAGGTTCAGTGTCGAGGGCTACAAACTCCTTTATCGAGCAATCCACTCATTCATATCTCAGGAATTGAGAGCTCTAATATCACTTGATACGATCCGACACAAAAGTTGACACAATTTTTCATAGAAATTAGGGCAAAGTAGATTTTTTTCTTCAATAATCCAAAATGCTCAACACTAATACATAATATAAACACCTAAAATTCAAAAGTGAAGCGAATCTCTCTCAAATCCTACAATTGAGAGGTAGGTCTATCCAATACTCTAAATCTAAGACTCACAACAATAATCTTGTGTCTGCCCAACCCTGAAACTATTAGGGTCTATTTATACTAAGCAATAATAAATAATAAAAATCTCAATTGTCTTTGGGAATAAAAGATAAATTGCCCTCAGGCTAAGCGGGCGTAATAGTATGCTTGCTCATACACTAATTGATCCTAATCATAAATTGGGAAAAGCAAATGAACCTACTTTGGACAGAAATATAGTAAAAGTTGGTCGGAAAAATTATATAATTTGTACATGCAAGGCTAATAAAAATAAAAATAAGGCTGGATATAGCTTATTGTCACCTCTCAAAAGAGCTCTTATGGGTGGTGGGCAACCCAGGACTTAAATACTGCTTTTCGGCCCTCGGCCCTACATATGTGGGACTATTTGTCTGTGACATTCTTCTCTACTCAATTCTCCTCCACCCAATC